GCATTCACTAGCAGTATTTCTATTGCCAGGGCTGTCATCACTGTTATTGACGGATGCGCTGAACTCTTGTTGACAATTTTCAGCAGAGAACACCGACACATTGTTAAAGGCACGGCTATTGCCTATTTTAACAAGCTCACTCAAATAGAAGATTGTCATTTAGTGGAGGAAGCAGCAGCATCTACTATCACTACACCAATATCTGTCGACGTTAGTCCAACGTTATCTCTCATTGAGCGAGGCCGCCTTCTCATGCTGATCAACAAGTTCCACGGCTGCTTCTCATCCACATCAAAAGTTGGTCAAACGGCACTGACGAAACACTACATCATCACGGATGCCGACACCAGGCCCATCTGACAAAATCCTTATCGCGTGGCCCCAAAAGAGTGTGAAGCAATTCAAAAACAGGTGAAAACGATGCTGGAAGATGGTGTTATTCGACCATCTAACAGTCCTTGGGCATCACCAATAGTACTCGTCAAAAAAAAGAACCGCAGCTTCAGTTTCTACGTCGACTATTGAAAGCAAAATCAGATTACATAGAAAGACGTCTATCCTCTGCCACATATTGATGATTGATTGGATAGACTATGAAACATACGGTACTTTTCGTTCATGGACTTGAAAATCGGCTACTGGCAAGTTGAAGTGGATGAGAAAAATCGCGAGAAGACCGCCCGATGGACTTTATGAATTTCAGGTACTTCCTTTCGGTTCGTGTTTGGCACCAGCATCATTCCAGCGTCTAATGGACACGGTTATGTCGGGACTTAAGTGGCAAACCTGCTTGGTGTACCTCGAGGACGTGATTGTCTTTTCGGCGACTTTTAAGGAACACTTACGAAGGCTCCAAGCAGTTTTTGAAGGGATATGCTTATCTGGTCTTACTCTAATACCCGAAAAGTGTCACTTCGGCTTCCACAAACTTTAATTCCTCAGTCACGTTGTGAGCAACCAAGGGATCTGACCCGACCAGGATAAAATTGCTGCCCTGGCGAATTTTCCGACGCCATCAGACAAAAAATTTGTGCAACGTTTTTTAGGGCTCTGTGCCTATTACCGGCGGTTTATTGCCAATTTTTCACGCATCGCCTGGCCATTGACACAACTTACTCGGGAAGATATCCCCTTCACATGAGGCCAAGACCAGCAGTAGGCATTTCACGAGCTTTGTCAGCGCATGCAAACACCGCTCGTGCTCGCCTACTTCGATGAAGATGCGCCAATAATACCACATACAGTCGCTAGTAATGTGGGTCTTTGAGCAGTGCTCATACAGTCAAAGGACAACATGGAAAGGGGATCGCCTACACCAGCAGGGCGCTGTCCCGATCAGAAGCTAACTATACTACGACAGAGAAAGAATGTCTAGCAATACTGTGGGCAGTCCTGAAGTTTCGTCCTTATTTGTACGTCTGCCCATTCACCGTTATCAGCGATCACCACTCACTCTGTTGGTTATTCAACTTGAAAGATCCAAATGGTTGTCTTGCACGCTGAAGTTTTCGGCTTCAAGAATTTGACTTTATTGTTACCTACCATATAAACTGGACTATAGGTCGAGTGGGAATATAGGTCGACCCTCCAAGTTCAGGTTTCCGAAAAAAAAAAAATAACAACCAAAAACAGCCGAACCACAATTATTTGCAAATTGGGCACACCGCACGCCGATCGTCGGAGCTCCCCTCAACCACCAACGCAACTTCTTCTATTCGTCTGACAAAGCACCACTGTCTTCTGAAGACAAGAGTTTGTTGCTGGTTGCCTCCCACAGTGCGTCGTCTTCAGTGCCATCCAGCGAGCTGCTGATGCAATATTTCTTGAAAGGTTTTTCCTCCATGGAATCTGGCAAGGAATGCCTAGTGGAAAGCACCCAGTCACAAACAGTCGCAAGCGGAGGCCTTTGTAGGTGGCCCGTCGGTGTCTTGGGGTTGTTGCCTAACATCCAGTCTTGGTATTCCAGCCACACTCGGTCCTTGAACGGCTTGTTTAGCACAACGTCGAGCCGCTGGAGGGTGGACGTCATACCTCCTGGTATCACGGCGAGGTCCGTTTTCCCGTCGCCGAGTGTGCGTTTCACTGCGTCGGTTAAGTGACCACGAAATGCATCCAGCACCAACATGCTGCAAAGACGCAGCAGTGTATCTGGCCGACGGTTCCACACCACTTTTATTCATTCGAGCATTATGGCCTCGTCTATGTATCTCTTTTTGTTGACACGAACGACAACAATTCCTTTGGCATTGTCTTGCGTTTGAAAATGACAAAAGGCGGAAGCTTTCTACCATCTGTCGTGCATGCCAGCATGACGGTGAAGCGCGAGTGCTCGTTGCGAGTGGACAACAGCTTCACATCCTTGGCGCCACGCTGCGTGATCGTGGTCGATGAAGGCATATCAAACCACACGGAGGTCTCATCGGTGTTGCCAATCGGCCCCATCATGTAGTCGTTCTGCTCCCGAAGCCGGTTCACGAAGCGCTGAAAGTTTATGAGCTTGTCCTCGAAGTCCTCCGGCCACTTTCGACAGATGGATGTGTGCCGCTGGAGAGAAAATCCTTTGCTTCACATAAATTGACGCACCCAAAAGTTTGGTGCACGAAACTCTTTCCTCGTGAGTTGAGCTTCTCGAGCGAGTTCCACGGCTTTCTTGCGAATGGTATCCACGGCCACTGGCAGCGAGCGCGCACGAACTTCCCGCACAAAGTCCGCTAGCTTATTCTCCAGCAGCGGATGAACGGCAATTCGTCCACGAAACGACATTTTTTCGAGGATTGCTCGTCTGCAGCTTCTCTTTCTGCGTCTTCTAATAGCGCACGCTTTTTTTCGATACACCAAAGCAGTGCTGAGCAGCCATATTCCCGTTCGCTTCTGCAAACTCAACAACATCTAGTTTAAACATAGCTGAGTACTGCCTCCTCGCACCGCTACTTATATACAGTGAAGGAAAAAAAAAGACCACTAAAAATGCAGTGCAATGTCATGCAGAGTGAAAACTCAGAACAGATCGGAAGCAAATTACGAACACAAAGGAAACAGACGGAGAAAAAAAAAAACAGCCTGCTATTGGATATGGATGCGGAAATGGCCGCGTCCGGCTTCTCAAGCACATGCAAGCCACATGTTGCCAGGCAGCGGCGCACTTTCGGCTACACACCGCTATATAAAACAAGGGGCAACTTTAGCTTATTACTTTATTGAAAATATCTCGACTCATATTCTGGTATATACGGTATAAGTCGGCAAAATGACACACCGATACCGACTGTCTTTCTCGATCTCCTGTTGAGACGGCATCGCCAGATGACGACGAAGACATGGCCTTTTTGGTAATTGTAGGCACTGCCGCCTTTGCTCAACAGCAGCGCGATGACCCTAAACTGCAACCATTCATAAATTACTTCAAAGGGCGAACGAATAGCGTGCCGAAGTTATTTTTGAGAGGGCTGCCATCGTACTGCTTGTGGAATGACGTTCTTTGTAAGAAGAACTTTTCACCCGCCGGCAGCAGCTACTTGCTTGTCGTTCCTTCTCCGCTTCGCTGTGAGGTACTGCAAGCCTGCCATGATGAACCCACTGCTGGTCACTTGGGTTACGTAAGAACATTGGCGAGGATAAGGCAAAACTATTACTGGCCAAGACTTGACGGAGTTGTCAAAACTTAGGTGCAGGCATGTCTAAATTGCCAGCGTCGCAAGCCATTATCCGTCAAACCAGCCGGACTGCTGCAGCCTGTCCGAGTGCCGGCGGCACCGTTCGTACAAATCGGCATGAATTTTTTGGGCCTCTTCCCAAAGTCTGCCACTGGAAACAGGTGGATAATTGTCGCCACAGATTACCTGACCCAATACGCGGAGACAGGCGCTCTGCCACGCGCAACGGCAGCTGAAATGACGCAATTTTTTATCGAAGCCATCATTTTAAGACACGGTGCTCCCTCAATAGCCATCACCGACAGAGGTACTGCGTTCCTGGCTGAGCTTTTGGACACCTTTTTCCGACTAAGTGGTGCAGCTCACAGAAAGACAACGGCATATCATCCCCAGACAAATGGGCTCACCGAACATCTCAACAAGACCTTGGCTGAGATGATAAGCATGCACGTAGATGTAGAGCACAAGAACTGGGACGACATATTGCCCTATGTCATGTTCGCGTACAACACGGCTCGTCAGGAGACCACTCAGAAGACCCCCTTCAGTCTCCTTTATAGATGCCGAGTTACGACGTTAGGCACAATGCTCCCTCATGAAAATGATGGTGATTAGACGGATGTCGAAGTGTTTACCCAGCGAGCAGAGGAAGCCAGGCAACTTGCTTGGTTGCGAATCACCAAACAACAAGCGATGACGCCAAACATTACAACCTCCAGCACAGAACCATCATATACAACGTGGGCAACAAAGTGTGGGTCTGGACACCTATTTGTCAGTGTGAGCTCTCCGAAAAGCTGTTGCGAAGATACTCGGACCCTACAAGGTTCTGTGATGCATCAGTGAAGTCAACTACGAGGTTGTTCCGGACGGTGCTCAGTGTGCGAAGCGCCCCATACATTCACCAGAAATTGTCTGCATGCTTTGGATGAAGCCTTACTTTCAGTGATTAACTGTGCAGTTTTGGTTTTGTCTTGCTCTCGAATGTTTAACGTTGGGGCGATGTTTCTTTTTAAAGGGGGAATAACTACGCGCGTATGTGCCAGTAGCAGTGACAACGAAGCAGCGCGAGTGTTCTTGGCCGAGGGCAGAGATGAAGAAGACTTGCAGTCTTTGTCCTGTGATCGATAAAGCATATTTGTTCAAGGTGCTCTGTGTGCTCGTCGATCCTGCGTCGTCACAATATATAGTGATGCTTGTGTTCTTGCTTGGCTACCAGCTGCTGCATACTCCTTGTCGGCCGGCGCTTCAGCGCTGTGCCCTGTGTTCTCCGTGCGGCGCGTCCGCCGCACGATACTACAATCACGAGGAACGTTTCTCAGCGTGCTTATGCTGTGATTATTTCAGCGCACGGGTTTGCTGAGCATGGTGGATGTGGAGTGCTCATTACGGGGTACGCCTGACACATACGTCCAGAAGGTCCGCATGCAGCACAAGACTAGTCCCAGGTATGCTCGACCATTGAAACTCTCCTTCAATCTATAGAAAAGAAAAATGAAGCTGGTATACACCTACTGGCAACCAAACCATCAGCGAAGAAGGCACAAAAACTTTTGTCTGTGCATGTCTATGCGAATCCGTCATGCATGGAGCTCTACCTGCAAATCGAGCACATTTCCTTTCATGTATATAAAGCTTAATCGGTGGTTGGTTCACTTATGGGCTTGCCATGCCTCAATCATCAGATGTGTTTTTTCATTCCTGCTTTTCGGTACAAAACTGCGTATTCATCCTATTTTGTCGGGCACTTATAATCTCGACAATATAAAGAAATGTTGGAAGATGAGCCCCCAGCTAGCGGTTTTCCTTTACATTGTTAAGAGTAAAAGCACACCAATAATTGATTAATGTGCAGTTCTGTACCGCCATAGGAATGACGAAACACGGTTGATAATTGAGGCATGGCATGGCACGTCGTTTAAAATATAAAATGTAGTGTAGTTGCGATTACCAAAATGACACCGAGCACCATATAAAGCAAAGTTGATCATTGATGACCTCACATATGTGTTCTTAGCTGCAAAGAACACATGTAACGACGTTATGCGTTAACCTGGTGAGGAGCCTATGATATTTATGAACAAAGTGAAAAAAGATTGACAATGCTGTTAGTGAACTAATAAATGTTTATGCTCAACGTGATGTGAAATAACCAACATAATGCTACATATCTAGCAAATTTAATAATTCACACACATTTGAACTTTGAATTTTGATTTAGTATATAATAGGTGGTCTAATACTTGCTTGTAAAGTTTGGAAGGAAGTGCTTACACAAGAACAATATGGACCAAAATGTTGGATAGTAAATAGCCCATTTACCACGACAAAAAGCTAAAAAGCATATTTTCAAAAAAGCTTTTTTTTTTTTCAATTGGCCTTATGTCTTGAATACTGCACTTGTAAATTATACAGAATAATTTACATAGTCAGAGAAATGACTTGTATTTTCTTTAAACACTGTGCCCAACAGCTGCATTTCAAAAAGATTGCCCCGTTACCGAAATAACAATAACTTCGTCTGTACTGGCATAGGAATAAAGAAACACGGTTGATAATTGAGGCATGGCGTATCGATAGTAGTGGTAGCGCATCCGTCAATCAACTGTTGATTAACTCTCATAAAGATAAAATCAAATGCCTCAGCAGTTATTTTGCAGGTACGCGTGCTGGATTGATAGGTTCGCATATTGCATGGACATGGGCACACAAGTTTTCGTGCCTTTTTTTTTTCACCATTGTGCGTTCGGTAGTAAGTATGTGTGTCTAGACTTCATTCATGTGTCGGTGTCTGCAGGCCCTGACTCAGAATAAATACCCACCAACTCGGCTCTCTCTCATTCTAGGCCATTTGTGCGATGGCCGAGTGCCAGCAGTTCCTCTCAGAGCTTGTGTTCTTACGAGAGTCCCTTGTGTGTGGCTTTATTGGCAGGTTCTTTGAAGTCAAGTGTGGTGGCGTGGCGTTCGGCATTCGGCACTATGCGGGCAATGTGACCTACGAAGCATCGGGGTTTCTCGAGACCAATCGGGACGTGGTTTCCGACGATGTGGTGGCCGTCTTCCACCGCAGCTCCTGCGCTTTTGGCTTCGCTACGCACCTGTTCGGCAGCGAGTTGAAGGCGCTGTTCGCTGATGGTATGTCCTATGTGTGCGGTATTTTCTAGGCACGATTGCGGAAGATGCTCGCAATGATCGAGAGAAAACTTGATGGCTGCTTGATTGACATGCAGATATTGATGAAATGAATGCTGGGAACTCAGATATAAGTGTCAAATGAAATTAAGGCACCTCCTGAGCTGAAAAATATTCTGCACATGTAACCCCAGAAGATCTTCTTTTATTTGATTATAAAGGCGAGCCACTGCAAGTTGAGGGGTAGCCTCCAGAACAACCAACAGGGAGAAGGCATTCACTGATCACGACATAGGATAAGGCACTAACTGTGTAAAACAGGCAGTGCTCACAAAATGCAGCTATCTTAAGTATTGATGATTCAGAAGAAATCGAATTGAATACAGCATTCAAGGTTTGGGGATCATTAGTTTTCGCATGAAAAGATTTGAAGCAACTTCTGACCTGACTATAAGTCCTAAGGCATAAACACAAACTGCACCTGAGTTGAGTAGAAGCAGACAGGAAGAACGGAGACTAACAAGTAATTTAGCATCCCGAGTGCAGTTCAAGCTTACATATTGTGTCTCACCAACAAGCCCCCAACACGTGCCTCCTAAGGCTTCAGGTTTTTTTTTTCATCATTGAAGCATGTGTCACGTAAACTGTATGAAGTTTAGTAGGAAAGCTTTCTTTCTGTTACAAAATAATGCTTCTATTACAGGCGTCGCTCCTCGTGGTGTCTCCTTCAGGGTGTCGCCGACAGCGCACACAGAGCTGTAAGTGTCATGAAAATAGTTTGGTTAGGTGAAGCTTGCATTGCCCCACGAATGTCATTGATGGAACTTATTTCTTTGTCATCTAATCGTGTAAATTTTTTTGACATTATTTCCGTGACCAGAATAAATCACTGAAATTTAGTTAGACCTCAGCATAAAACACTGTCATGTTCAAAGAAAACAAACTCAGTCCAATTTCACTCAGTGGTAAATCTGCGAAAATGCTGGAGCCTTGCTTCTGCTGCGTTTCCCTTGAGATTTATGTGAATTTATTGCAATTTTGTGTAGATGTGTGTGCTTGCATTATTTATAGAGCAGCAATCCACATAAAAAAAGGCATGCATCTCATGCACCTGTTACAGGGAAGTTAAGCACTTTTGACACATCAGCCATCTGTGGCTACCGCTTAATTTGAAATTCCTCCTCTATCAATCAAGAGTAGCATCTCAATGCCCTGTGATAGCCCGGTTAGAGACAAGTCATCTTTTCGTCTTGGTGCCCCGCCCGAAGTGTCCGGCAGTGGAAGCGCTCTGCCTGGGATAGGTATGGATGACTGTGTTTGCAAGCATGTATAGTTAGGCAATGTTACCAAGTATTGAGAGTCTCTATCGCATTGTTGCTTCAATTTAGGAGCATTTATGTACCTGAAGTAGGGTCAGCGTGGGTATGAATGTCAGTGTCAGTTGAATGTTTGGAGCATGACGGGCTAGTATCCTGGGTCTTAATACCTTTGCTTGCGTCGCCCCGTGGAGGACAAAAAAAAACGTTTTTTTACGGAGCTTGTTTGGCAACTCTTATGCTCGCGCATTCTTTGCCGGCGGCGGTGTGTAAGCTTCTATGGTGATTTCAGAAATGCTCACTACATGGCGCGCTCAAAGCGCTAGGGTGCCTCATCGTTCGCACGTCTCCGCTTCCAATTGAAAAACCCTTCGAAAGCTCCGCGGCGCCTGGCGGCCATGTTGGTTCAAAAGTGTCTGGTGCAGCACAGAGGTTATTGCTGGAATGGTGCTGTAAATACGTTCTTGATGTATTGAAATACGTTCTTTGGCTGCAATTGTAGGCTAGTGTGTGTGACTGTGTACTAGTTTACACGTCAAAGGCCACCAGATGTTTTGCTTCTCTTCTAACAGTGAGTGAAGAAAAAAAAAAGTTGGCAGCATATTCACGGAGTGAATGATGGAGAGTGGGGCGAAGAACTCGTCCATCCATTCATTCTTGCTTCCGTCCGTCTATGCTTTCGTCTGTGTGACCGTCCATGCGTCCATCCGCGCGTCTGTGCGTGCATCTGTTTATGCGTCCGTCCCTGCATTCATCCATGCATCTGCCCCAGCGTCCGTTCATGCATCCATCTATGCATCTGTCTGGGTGTCCGTTCATTCATCTATTGAACACTCCAAGTACCACCATCTCTCATCTTTTCATCATATATTCCCCATATAGAAGCATCGCCATCCAGTGGACATTCCAAAGACTGAACGAGAGGTGGCACACGCACACTTTCTTACGGCTTGCGCTTCGGGTCTACTTCCCTCCTTTAACCACCTTTAGTTCATGGTATATACTAGTTCACTGTATTCATGGCACTGCGGCCCAACGCTCGCTAAACCTTTCTAAAACCAAGGAGGTTACGCCCAGTAAGTATAACGTAGCAACCTTTTCTTGTCAGATAGGGCTCAATGTACATGCCATTGGCTGCTAATGGGAAAGGAGAGACAGGAGAATTCGGCTTTTACTTTTTTACGGCTTGCGCTTCGTATCTGCTTCCCCCCTTTAACCACTTGGAATTCATTCATGGTATATACTAGTTCATTTTATTCATGGCCCCGCAGCTCAACGCTCGCTAAACCTTTCTAAAACTAAGGATGTTACCCCCAGCGAATATAACGTAGCAATCCTTTCTTGTCAGATAGTGCTCAATGCACATGCCAATGGCTGCTAAGGGGGAATGAGAGACAGGAGCATTCGGCTTTTAGTTAACCTGCACACTGCGAATTTTTGATTGTTCAACAACGCACAGAAGAAATCTGTCACCGGCACCACCTTGGAGGTCAAAATATAACACTTGTTACACACTACGACTACGACCATGAGGGACGAACGGGTGCCGCTGTAAGGAGCTTCGCCCCTAGGCCAGTATGCACCCCGCCAAAAAAACATTGTTTCATGTTTACCGTTTCTGAAGGCGCGGTCTCCGTCGATGACATCATCGAGTGTCTCGAAGAGACGACCGGTAGCGAAGGGGTGTTGTTCCTGCAACACCTCGGCGCTTTGAAGTTCTTGGTAGCAACGAGGACAGCGGAACAAGCCACCAAGCTCATGGTGAATGAAGGTTTTGTCTTTCAGAAGAAAAAAATTTCAAGGGGAAGTCATCGGCACACCAAGTGAGTGTGTACAGGTTGCCACCGTACGTACCCGATGACGCGGTCGTCTCTGCTTTGCAGCCTTTCGGAAAAGTACATAGTATGTTACACATGTTACTCTGCAACGATGTCAGTCTACATTTACTGGTACACGAATGGTGAAGATGGAAATGGCAAAGCCGGCACCGAAATTTATTTCAATCCATGGACACCACGTTATGTTGGAGTACCGTGGCATGCGTTGCATCTGTGCGCGTCGCCACAATGAAGGCCACATGGCCATGGCATGTGCAACACCTTTTTGTCATAGGTGCAGTGCGTACGGACACGCTGTGGAAGAGCACTGAAGCCTGCAGAAGGTGTGGAGGTGATCACCCGACCAAAGAATGTTTCAAGCGCAGATCATACGCAGACGCAGCTCAGAAGACGCCGTCACCGAGTGTCCAAGACTTCCAAACAATTGAAGAATTCTCTTCAAGCTCCTCAAGTGTGGCCACGCAATCTAGAACCTATGAAGTACTGCGTCCTCATAAGAAAACGACACGAGTCAAGACACCAGACCACTGGGATGAAGAAAGCCTGTCTTATGATTTCGCAGACGCGCAGTCGGAAGACGCTACTTGTGTCAAGCCCGCCAGTACGCAAGACGGGGCAACTTCAGATGAACAGCCCGCTCAGACGCAACATGAACACCCAAATGGGAGTTCCAGTGAAACGCCCAGTGATTTTTTCAGGGGCGAAGCTCCTTAGGGCGTGGGCTGTGCGTCCCCTGTAGCCTGTATGTAGCCACCTCTAGTTTAGTTCTTGCAGTGTTCACTAGATGGCGGTACCGTCCCCTGTATGTAGCCACCTCTAGTTTAGTTCTTGCAGTGTTCACTAGAGCTTCGCCCACTCATCATCATTCACTTCGTGGATATGGCGGAATTTTTTTTCACTAGTAGGCAGCATCAAAACTCGACATAACTGCAGCGCATCAATGGCGCCCGAGAAGCGCCAAATGCCGGACGACCAGGTACCCATTACAAGAGGCATCGCAGAAAGCACTGCTTTGATTTATTCTGCCACGACAGGGACAGACGCCAGTGACAGCACACCAAACGCTAACCTTGGAATGTCGACAACCTTGAAGAACATGAATGCGGAGCAAACCGGCGGACACCGAGGTTTCTACCAAACCGGCACGATCTGCAGACGCATTGAGTCTTTCGAGTTCACAACGCCGATCCAAGCCAGGCAGTGGGAGCAGTGGCAGTGACTCCACTAAACAGGGAACATTTAAGAAACCCCGGGTGGGATCACCACCACAGCAAACGTCACCAACTGTGAGCGACGACGATATGTACTTTTAGCATTTGGCTCTCCTCTCTCTTACCTTTTTTTTCCTTTAGGCAACTTCCTCACCTTTATTTCAACATTGGCATCACTTTTTTTTATGTCTTTCAATGTTCGCGGTTTCCGAAATCCGGTGAAGCAGCACGCAGTACTTGACCTCGCGCGGGCGCATCGCGTAGACATGCTCTTTTTGCAGGAGGAAAACTTTCGTACTAAGCTTGACGTTGCAGAGTTTCAGAAAAAGTTTCATGTAGATGCCTTCTTCTCACTCACAGACGCACGTCCACGTGGCACAGGAGTTGTTTTTATGAACGCAACGCTGAGGAGGGGTGCTCATTGTCTTGTTGACACTGAAGGCCGCATCATAACAGTAGATGTGGTACTTAACTCCAAACAAGTCAGATTTGTCAACGTATATGCGTCCGTAACAAGGTCAGAAACGAACGGGTTCTATAAAGGTGTCAGAAATTTTTCGATCGAGCCGATAATATATGTGCTTGTCGGAGATTTCAACTGCGTGCTCGATACTACACGAGACGTCAGGGGTCCCGGCCAAGGCGCCGACAATTACTACGCCAGAGAACTACAGCAATCTGTTCAAGATCTCAAGCTGTCAGATGGGTAGTTAACTATACATAGAGTCGGGTTTGTTGCAACCCGCGCTTGTGGCATTCAACAAAGCCGAATTGATAGAGTTTATGTGCCCGAAGACTTTTCAGCGAACCTACAAGCATGTGAGGTAGTCCAGCTTGCGCCAAGCCAGCAGAAACTCAGCGATCATGCTCCATTACTCGTCACGCTTAACGTGAGCACAACAACGAGAATCCACAAACCATGGAGGATGGACCCAACTATTCTTCATGATGACGAAAGCGTTTTTGTACTTCAAATTGAGCTGGCAGCCTCACTGGCAGAAGTGGGTTGCATAACTACGACTACATGGGACCACTTGAAATCTCGCTGGCGCCTCATAGCTCAACAGGCAGGAAAAGCGGGCCACACTCGCCTCATGGCCAAGATGAATGAGATTCTCCGACGCATTCAAATTATTGAAAGAGGTGGGTCAGCTACGTTCGCTATGCTCGAATACCTTGAAGCACAAAAAATTAAGTATCAAAATCTTCTAAAGCAGAGGTCCCAGGCTACAAGGCTCGCAAGAGAAATGCACTTATCGACGGATGAAATTGAAAACTTGACATATGGGCAAAGAAACCGAGATCGTCGATGCCAGCCCCGCTACATCAATGAGGCACTGAAAGAGGATGGTACCGTTGTTAATGACCCGGACGAAGTTCAAAAAGTTTTCTG